GTATGTGACTGAAGGGCAGCATCAGCCTGTGCACTAAAGTAGTAAACAAAATGAAAATAAGTACTCAAGGAAACTGATGCATTCAGTGTGAAATTTGTTTGTTCATCTCCCAGGCACAGAATTATCTTTGTGGTTTAACTGAGCTACTTCATGTCTGGGTTGCAAATTGGAATGAGAGACCAATATCCCAGAGGACACCTGGAATTAAATAATTAACTCTGTATTGCAGAGCAGATCTGTTAGGTGGTTAAACCAAAGTGCCTCTAGCTTAGAATCCTGTTTCTGGCAGTGACAAGAGCTACCAAAATGCCTAGGAAAAATGACAAGGCTAATACTTGATGATATTTTCCCAAGGTATTCTCCTGATTGCCTCCCACAGATCTCTGACTCTGGGATTTTCTAAACCAGAATTATTGTCTGTGTTCTTAGTAGYTCTAAATAAAAGGTTTTCTCCTTCCAAAAAGTTACTGGTTGTTTTTATGAACCCACTCATACAATATAGACCTGTTTTGATCACCCGGTTATGGAGCATCAGGCTTTTCTGGAAATTATGCCCAAGGTCGTTGCCAGGTTTGTTCCATTACTACTATTGCCAAAAAGGCCTTTTCCTGTGATTCCAAAGGTTCTGCTAACAGCAGCAGTGAGAAGMTGATGTTCCATTTGCCTAAATTTGCATCAGGATTTCTTCATCTTTTTCAGAGCTTCTTGTTTCCTGTCTGGGAGGCGAGGGAGGTTTTTGCCAGTCGTAGCAAGGCTTCACCAAAGATGCCTCCTTGCTTAAATGGCTTGTTCTTCCACCAGCCAGTCTCTCCTGCGGGTTTCACTTATTCTTGACCATTTGTGAATTCTGAAGGAACTAATTTGTTTGATCATGGTCCATCTAGCAATGATTTCTGTCTGTTACCCTTCAGCGGGTGGCATTCATCACAGTGGTATTCTGGAAGTGGTGATGTGACTAACCTAGCTCTTAACTGGTACCTGATTTTTCTTGTGCACTGCCCTTTCCATGACCAGTATTTTTATTCAGTAGTAGCCAGTATGTTACTGCATGTCTTTGTGAAGGTTTCTTTTCTTATGGAAAATTCTGTGAGAAGTGAGGTAGCATTACAGGCCTTGTTGGCTCAATCCCCTCCTTTCAGATGCTGTTCTTTAGAGGACAGTTGTTGTGCACCTCAAATACCTCTGCAAAATTCATATTAAGCCAGATTCATCAGTACCTTTCTGATTGTCTTTGTGGCACCTTAAGCCTTGTTTATCAGGGATTGAATTACACTCCATGCCCCTGGGATGATTCAACCCTGTTTATACTCATGGGGCCAGATATTTCAGATGGTCCTTGATCCTGTGTCAGTGGATGTTTTCTCTGGCTTTCCAGCTGACTCTGTGAAGGCTGCAGAGAGATGCTGGAAGAGGCAGCTGTCCATGCCAGGCTGTGCTCTGGGACCAGTGAGCTGCAGCAGCCCTCTGTCACCCGAGCTCAGAGCACCCAGGGCTTTGCTGAGAAATGCACCTGAGCTCACACTGATCAGGCTGATCTGGGTTTCCATCTTTATCTCCCTCAAGTGTTTCACTGTAACAAAGGCATCTGGACCCAGAGTGAATATTTGGGGAAGGTTCTTCACTGAAAGCATTATTGACCACTAGAACAGGCTCCCCACAGTTTTCTGTCGTTTCAAGGAGTGTTGTGTGATTTAGTGTTAGGTGATCCTTTGAGGAGCAGGGAGTTGGACTTGAGGATCCTTWGGGGTCCCTTTCAACTCCAGATATTCTTAGGTTCTATAACAGCTTTGTTAAGCAGTCCTCAARCTGCTGATYGCTGCTTCATGGAAGRTTTCTAAATGCATCCAKGCAGCTGTTTGCTCACTCTTTGTGRGCATGCCTGTGTACTTTCAGTGACAGAATAAAGTCTACCTTCAAGTGGGTGAACAGAAGTGGCTTTGCAGTTAGCTGGATTATTTCATTGATTTTGCTAGAAACTAGCCCTGAAGAAAGAAATCTATCTGGGCAGCAGAACGGGAAACGAAGAAATTTGCAGTGTAGGAATGGGCACAATTGCAGCACAGTTACAGGTTGCACCTTTTAAAATGCATACAACTGTAATTTAAGATGACTAGGTATTGTCACAAAGCATGCACAACTGTGTGTTTGAATTTCTTGGGCTGTAATTCTGCTTTAGCAATGAAAGTAAGTGAATGATAACTTCAGCAAGCAAGTGGGAGCTTAAGTAAGTTATCCGAGGGTGAAGGAGAACGTTGCAAAACTTCAAAATGAGCTTTTCACATGGACAAGCAGACAAGTAAACTCTGGAAACCGTAGAATTTGCAGTGATCCAGCCCATCTCCTYACCCACAAATTTGCCCTTTAGTGTGCAGCCACATATGTTTGATTTATTTTTGATTGACATAACAATACAAGAGCCAAGTGTATTAAAACTGAAGCTACACTCTGAACTTCGGTGTTTCATCATGTGCCAGCAATCCAAAGTGCTTTTCCATGTTGTTCAAGAGAACACTATCATCAGCAGTAATAATAATTTCAGAGTAATTAAACTAAACTATCTCTGTGCATCTAAATAAACAAATAGGTTGTGGTTCTGTAGAATGTGCCAAGTGTGAGACTTGGCTACTTGTTGAAATTGAGATGCTTTTAGTGTACAAGCATTCTGCTTCATTTAGTACCAGCACCCAGTGTTTCCACCAACTTTAGGCTTGCAATAGGCTCTGGTATCTTGATAGGATATTTTTTATTCTAATGTCTTTCAGAAACTTTCATACAGATATAGTTCTTGCTTCACCTAGTATTTTTAACTGTTTTACRGTCAGAGGTATCTAAAAGAAAAATGTTATTAGGCCGTCATTCATTGTCTTCAACTTGCTCTATTAGCTGAGTAACATATAAGCTGTTGACCAGTAAGAATTGTCATAAAATTCTGCACGTAAGAAATGCGTAGTTCAGAAGTGATGACCAGTCTCTCTCACAAGCTGTCTTCATACTTCCTTTTCTTTAATAAACTGTTGGTGCATTTGAGAATTGAAACTGATTTTTTGTGACTTGGTTTTTAAAGTGGATGCAAATGCAAATTGTGCAGTATGTCTAGAGGGAAGAGGTAAACGCTTAGTTACTTTAAAGGATGAGAATTTTTGYGGTTAAGAGAATTTGTTTATGCATGCCAGATGACTTGGGGTTGACAGAGGACCACAACTGCAGCTAGTCAGGCAAAACAGAATTCAAGTGTGAATATTCTAAGCCCTTCCCTTCAGGCAYAGAAAACTAGTCAGTGCTCACCCTTGTCAGAATTTTCACCYAAGCAAAYATTAACAYRGTGTAGTGAGTATCTGGAGTGGCAYGGTRATGTTACMGCTTTCTCTGAGAAGGTGACAGCAGTGAGGAGYAGTAGCAGTGACAACCATCTCTCTTGGACAGTCAGTTTCAAAGCACCAGGCAGGAAGGGTCGGTTCTCCTATTCCTACTTCTCAGATTTGGAAAAGGAGGTCAAGCTGTAATGGCTTGGGCAGAAATGGCTTATGTACATATCTTGTGTCAGACCGTCTGGTGGAACCCTTTATACTGCTGGAAAATACCAGTTCAGGGGAAGCAGAGTGCTTTGCAGAAGCATGTTGCATGTGATGAAAAATTGGTTCACATGAAAGTGGTTTTGAGAGCAATTTAGTTTTGTATTYCCAAATTGCTTTATTTCAGTTTCAGTATGAAATTTAATAAGSACAGAGACAGAATTTTTTATTTTATTTTTRTAGRATTCAACTTTATTGAATAAATTTGCAAGGTTYTAGGGCCCAGTTTCATTGGTTTGGGCTTCTTGAGGGTTGAGTTAATTTTTTTTTAAGTTTCTCATAAACTCAAACTAAAATATTTTGATTTATTTTCCARAGGAAAAACATTCACAGTTGTGAAATGAGCCTTAAAATAAACAAACAAATAACTAGTACAGCTCTGCTGTTAAGTTCCAGTATCACGTTCACTGTTCCTCCCCTGTTTCTTCTTTGCTGTGGGAAGACAATAATTTATATCAGCTGTTTTTCTTGGGATGTTGTGTTTTTCCAATCCAACTTGTAAATCAAAAAGGGTGCAACTGGGGCTCTGCTGTTCTTGTCCTCTGGGATCCTGTCTTGCCCCACTAAATGCTCATATTCAGCAGGGTAGCAACTGTTCTCCTCTCAGTGATGGGAGTGCAGTTCTGAGTAAGGCTAAGTGAGAATGAGAATAAATCTTACATAACCTTACAGCTCAGAGCAAGGTCTGTCTGAGTAGCTGCTGCTCTGTGCAGACTGCAAAGGGACCTAGGAGTAATTTCATTTCTGTGCAGTTGTTTCTTGTTCAGTAGAGACAAAAGTGCTTAGAATCGATTGCTTGTATCTGTGTTCWTGTTGCTTTGAAACAAAAGAGCCTTCTGTACCCTGGCTGCCTACTGATAAAATGGATGATCAGTTTTGCAATAATTATTTTTAGGCARTGCATCTTACTCCTTTCTCCACTTTTATCCCTCAGTGTCAATCATCTGCTTTTAGATGCTTTGTACTCTTTCAGCTTAGCTCCTGACARCTGCTGCTTTGGGAAGGGTCAAGGAAGGCAAACACAACTTTGCTTTTAAYAATGTTGGATTATTCTGTTTTCAAATAATTGTATTTTTTGCAGTGTCTAATAAAAAAGAGTGAATGAAGTCAATGAGTTGCAAGATTTTAAGTTCAAGTGTGATGGGAGAGGGCTTCTTGTAGGGAGTTTGTGATTTCATTGGTGTTTGGAAGAAGTTCAGGTGGGATTTTTTCTTTACAGCTGATAGTATCTATAAAGAAAACAAAAAATTACTGCAAAAGCTTAATATAGGTCTTTTGATAAGGCTGTGTATTCTACTCATACGTGGATTTTTCATGGTCAGACAGATGTGCAGAGCACAGAGGGATGCACACCTTTAGAGTGCCAGAACTTCATTCTCCAAAACCCAGACTTTGCATTTTYATTTTTCATTTTAATTTTGTTTCCAGATAAATCCGGTGTTTTAATTGTGAAGATCTTAGAAATATTTGAGGAGTGCACAATACAAGTTGCCATCTGCCAGCAGCTGGAACAGTCTCCTGCCATGCTTTCACYCGAGGATGCTGTCATCAATGCAGAGGAACCAATACTCAAAGTCCTCTTCACAAGAGAGACAGCAGCTCACCTGAAGAGCAGACCACAGGATGTCATCCACATCTATCCCCCATGGTGAGTAAGAAGAATGGTCCCCATTTGCTGTAGCACTGCAGAACAAAGTGGAGTTGATAGAGTGCTGGCTGCACTGTTGTAGGAAAAACCTTGGGGGGTAACAGGAGAGCAGGGAATTCTTGTGGTCATCTGTGTCTGGCAGCTTGAGAGGCTTTGAYAGATACCTTAAAGACAGCTCAGATAACAACTAAATGCATATCATAATGCCTCTAGTGTTGCTCAGGGCTTCAGTTGTGTTTTCCCTTCATATTTTCATGTTTAGAGCACTAGCAAGGCCTGAGCAATGTCTTATCAATGATAAGGCCAATAAAGTGCATACTTTCTAGTAGCAAAGTAGTTCAGGAATGCTCATCTGTTGTTGTGAACATGGGTATAATATTTCAGTGGAAAAGTCTGTATTAACTGTATAGTATTCAGCCTTCAGTTCCCTGAGTCCCTTCTTCTTTCTGGAATTCTTCAAAACGTTTGCTCTAYGTTTGTGATTGTTTTCTGAATTGGATTATTTACCTGAATTTTAAGGGGTAGAAAAAGTAGTGAGATTTCTAGTAAAGCTGGTTGGTGGTGGCTGTAGGTTGGAAGGTCTACCCTTCATAAAAATTCAGGGGAACTTTGAAGTGGGAATATTATGTTTCTCTTCATTATCCTCCACCCAAACTACAAAAGAGGAAATACTTTTCTTATGTATTTCGACATCTATTACCTTGAGTTTTAGCCTCCAGCTGCCTCTAGTGTTTGACCATATCCTTTTGCAAAATACTTTTTCCTGTTTTGCAGAGGTCTGTATCTGGTTTTTGTCTTCATTGATAGCTRCAAATCTTTTCTGAGTTCCCCAATTTGTAATCTTTTGCTTCTAAAATGTTTTTAACTCTTTTTGGAGGCAATTAAAAAACTAAGGGAAGATACKTAATTTGTGATTTATTATGGCTACAGATACAACTATTGATAGTTTAGATGTAAATAGATTGGTAGCAAAGGGAAATACAGTTCAATATTAATTAAGTCTTAGTCTGATATGATTCTAATTCACTGCCTTTTTTCATTTGTTCTCATTTATCTTTTCCTTCACAAGCTTTTTTCCATATTTTACGTTTGGTTTTGTTTTCCTGTTTTCTTCTTGTTTCTCTCTCCTACAAACTCAGTTCTGTTTTTCTCTTCAGGTTTCCTCTGTTGTTATTAAATCACAAGTCTTTGCATTTATGCAGGTGTATCCTTCTGTGTAGACCCTAACCTAAGTGAAGATTTTTGTACCAGAAAATCTTTTTAATTRGGCTGTGATTCAAATTTTCTCCTCTTTTCCTTCATTTTTCTTTTCCTGAGCTGTTACTGTAGAATGCTTAGCATGTGTAAGTCTTGGACTGTTCAGGGAAGATGTAAATCTGCACGGATACGATCCTTTCCAGACTACAGACAKCTGTAACTGTACTAGTGTAATCTTCTCACTTGTTTAAATTTTAAGATGTTCTGAACACGAAGCTCATTCCTCTATGTATATAAACTGAGATTTCTTTAGAAAGCTTCATAGCTAGMTGTCTGTCTTTCCAGAAATACTGTCTTTTATTTGCTTTTTAATTTTTTTTTATTTTAGTAGGATGTGCTTTTCATGTAGGCAAAAGATTACTTCATGAAACTATAATGTTTGGACAGGGGATGCATCTGCATTGTCAGAGTTGCTTTCCTTACCCATATGTCTCTCAAGGCACTTTATAAATACATCTGTTAATTGTGGCAAAACTGCATTATACTCCATCTCTAGTCCTATTTTCTATCTTTTTGAAAATATCTTCATGTCAGTTGTCTTTTTGTTTACTCAACCAACTTCAAAAGAAGTTGGGCTGGATACTGTTAAACTACTGGAGGCAAGGAAGGGAGAGAGTGAGGGATGTTTTTGTTTTAGATTATAATTTGGCACTTTCAGTTTACATTAATTGGAAATTGGACTTGTACACTTAGTGGAAGTTTCCTCTAYCACAGTTCCAAGCTTCTATTCTCTTAAACTCTTACTTGAGAAATCTGAATGCCGAAATGTAGTTCTTGTTACTCTGCATTGAATTTGTACTTCTGTTGTTAAAAACAAATGCTGTTTCTGTTAAAACTCTTGTCTGCCAATGTGTGACTAGTGTAAAAACAAATTAACTAAATCTAACCCTGACATGGTGAAATAAGCATATTCATGTATCTTATTAATATCAGTAATCAGAAGCAAAAGGGAATGCAAAAAAAAAGTAGATGCAAGGGCAGGCAATCCTTGAATTACATATGTGGTTTTGGGATACTCAACACACTGTGTATCGTTGTTCTCTATTTGAGATGCTTGTATGGTGAGACAGAATGGGATGAGATAGAGTGTTTTGTAAGTGGTCTGCTTCTGGTGCTGTAGTGTCCCATGAGCAAAATTTCCTGTTACCTTTAAAACAAAATCCCAGAATTAYGTTCTGACTTTGCTTTTTGCTCTCTGAGCAAGTAACCAATGGAGTAAGATGTAGACAMACAGGCTGCTGGCTTCTGGATATGATTATTCATGTCAACAATTGAACACATCATTTCAGAGCTTTTGTAAAATTAGACTTTGCTTTTGTAAGTGTATGTGCTTGAACTMAGTGCACAACTTGGTATGTGAAACATCTCTAGCAGTAGGCTTGCATTGAGTGCTTTGGGAAGCAGCATTTAGAGAAGTGCTGATATACTTGTTGGTATTYGTTTGTGTACAGAATCCCATGAAACTTCAGTACTTCAGTATAAGCAATTTAATTTTAAAAATAAAGTATTGACGGAGGCTGGTTRTAAGAATCCTACCATTGGACASTGGACATTGCTCATGAGAACAGCCYCGCTGGATTTCAGAGGAGCTTTGTCAGGGCAAGAATTAGCAGGACTGAACCCAGATTTCTTTATAGCTAGATATGAATCTCTTCAGGTCTAGTGTCTTAAGGCACATATTTACACTCTTGAAAGCAAGGGATTTGATGTGAGAATCATCTCTCACTATAGGGAAAGCAGCACTCATAAACTGATTAAAGCTTTCACRCCAGCCTGTGTGGTGGACAGAGCTCAGCTGCCCTGGCCACTGAGATATCTGACAGGAGCCTGCTCTGGTCTTGTGGCTGTGTGAAAGTATTATTGCAGTGTTATATCTAAATAAGGCCGATTAACTTGGACACATCACATGAAAACRATTGTGTGTTTCGGGCTGGAGCTGGTGTGTGTCTGGCCAGCTGGGAACAAAACAGGCAGAAGAGCTCAGCCCTGCCTGCCCCTGCCTGTGTAGGCTTGCCTTTGGTTGTCTTTGCCATACATGAGCAACTTCTTGGATTAGGATTTTARATGAACACCTCATAATTTTTTACGAACTGAATCTGAATCATTAAGTGTTTTTAACACCTGGAAAAGAAAAGGGTTTATTACCGAGYTTAATTAAATTGATTACTAAGTCTTTGTTCACTTTGCAGAAATACATATCCAGCAAAARGTAAAGACTGCCTATTAACTGCAGAGACATGAGGGAGTTGGAAACAAAGGCTTCCACTCTTCCAGTGGTGGTGATTTTGTGGCTTTAACTTTCTCGGGGTTTTTTTTTCCTGTTTGTTTAATTGTAAAAATTATAGAAATAATTTACCATACCTAGCAGAAAGTGATAAGAGTTGGCATTTKTGGAGATTTCAGGATTTATTTTACTCCTGACTCGGCAAGAAGATCGACAGTTTCCTTGAGATACTCCTGTCTTCTGATCATAGATATGCCTACTAGTTAATATTCAAGATAAACTGGCCTGAAGAAAATGGTGCTGATTAGAATTTTTTTCCTTGCCAGTAAGTTTAACAACTTTGACATTTTTTTCATGTATTTCTGAAGTTAAACTTCTAGAAGTATGTGGTATTAATAGAGTCCTTGGCAATAGCAGTATAAACCACAGATCACGATTGATTTGGGTAGGCTCAGAGATCGATCCATACCTATTGAGTGTGAATGCCTGGTATGAAGCCTCTAGTTCAGGGGGTTCATGTGGTGCTAATTACTGGAGGAAGGGGCAGTATGAAGGGGACATAACCACTCTTTGTTCTGTTCTTACACTGCCTGTAAACACTGCAGAAAACAAGATCCTTGGCTGGATAGCCGCTATTCCCCATGCAACTTCTCCGAGACAGTTTATTTTAGGAACTTGGTATGGCAAGTACATAAAACACTTAAATCTGTGACATCAACAAGCAACTTCAAAGTTTTTCTTTAGTTTCTCTTAACCTGTGAAACCACGGGGAGTCATAATTACTCAGCTTTGAGTGTTCCAGTGCCTGGAGAAAGTGTTTAATGTGGACTTCTCATTTCTGTTTGCATAACGCTAAATTCAGTCTCTCTCCTCAGTGAAGGAGGTTTAAAAGACTTTGAGTTATTTGCTGCCAAGAAGAACAACTCATACAAAACATTGCTGCAGATCAGCTGGTGTGCTGGGATGAAACCTTGTGTCTCAAGACATTTAATGTAGGCCAATGGTGGAAGTTGCTGTAGAAACGTGCAGGCAAGCTCTGATGAAATTTATGTATGAGAAGCAATCTGGGTTTGTGAATTCAGGTATTATTCTACTTTAGAATTACCCTGGGTATGCTGTGGGCTGTTTTGTTGACTCAACAACAGCATTTATGATAAATGGGTACGTTACTGCGATTTTTGCATTGTCTTACCTAACAYGCTGTCTTACATCACCTGGGTGAGAAACAACAGGAGCAACACAGAGAGCTAACATGAAACAGGTGTTTTGAGCTAGCATGGCTTGTGCTAAAGAATTTTTGGCTTCCATTTGATGAAGATAGAGACTTTTTATTGCTGTTGCTCTTACCAGGCAAGGGAAACATTTACAGCGTTTACAGTGGACTTTCCTATCATGAGAAAGATAGAAAGCAGGATCTAGGCTTCACMTATTAATGAACTGCAGAAATTATCTCCTGCTGCTCTGTACAGAAAGCAACTATATCCTTGAAAATTTTCTCATTCCATAAGTGTCAAATACA